CTAGTATAACCTACGGACCTCTTCAAAGAGTGCTTTTAAATGTCTAAAACACATAGGATAAAAAAACGAATTACACCAACATACAGTTCTCAAACATTAAAAATACTTTGGAGAAATTGTGGTATCTGTGCTTCTTTATGAAAGCATTAAACAGCATCTAATATAGCATGTATGACCTACTGCTATTTGCCTTAAATCATCGATAGATAGAAACATTAAACCATAATGACTCTGCATGCATTAATGTCCTAAGAGATATTCCATGCTCCTTAATTGTTCCTGTACAGAATGCTTTAAACCAAAGCAGTAAATGGTAGAATTTATCATTTACATTTTATAATGTTGAAGAATTAAAAGAAAACATAACACTCACTACTACAACCTATTACATACACAGAATACTTTCCATTAATACCCAATAAAATTTGTTTTCCAACCACATAAAACTATATTATCTAAACATACAGGGTGGGGTAAAAGTAGGTTTATAGTTGTTTGTATGGAAAATAATACAATAACTAACAAATAATAATATAAGTATAAACTCTGTGTTTCACATACTCACTACTATAAACCTATTTTCATCCTACCCTGCATGTTTATATTCAGCCACAACCTACAGCTCAACAATAAAATGCAGAAAGGACTATAGTTTCATGTGTCAGGAGTCAGAAAATTTAATTTCTGCCAATGATTCACATACAGTCTCAAGAATATCATCACTAATTAATATATGAATGACCACAATAGCATATACACAAAGAAATTTACACAGACAAGTATGTTTTGATTCTGTGCACTTCATACTTGTTGAACACCCAGAAATGTTCAACAACTATGAGAATGGAGCACAACTAACCAGACAAATAGTATTTAGATTACTCTGGAAGAAGAAAAGCTGAGTGAGATGAAAATGAGGCAGTCTTTTTCCATCCTTCCAATGACACGCACACCCACCGAACCCACTGTGTGCCCTACACCACTCCTCACTGTTCAATTAGCCCTGGAAAAGAGAAGGTGCTTGAAAACAACACACATCCCCCCACAACTCACACATCACGCCTTTATGCACGCTGGCGACCCTGCTCAGATGATCTTCCCAGATGATCCAGCCAACTCCTCATCATTCTCCAGGATCCGGCTCACACACCCCCTTCTCTGGAGAGCCACTCTTCTAACATGGTGTTAGCCACTGAAGTGTCCAATGGCACCATCACACAGAGCCACCTAAGAAGCTCTGCACCCCAGGCTCCGAGCAGCGTCCAGAACACAGACTGACGAGTTAAACTAAAGAGTCACTTAACAACACTCAGTCAATGTCTGAAATAAAATTCCCATATCGCTGCCCCCCTAACAAAAGCATTTCTACAAAGACCATATAAGAGTATATTGTACACTACTCCGTATTTACATTCAGCAATCATTTTTCATGTTTCTACAGGATCTCAAAAACTACCATTTTAAAAGTTTGTTGGTACAGAGGATCAATTTACTATTCTAATTTAAAGAGCATTCAAGTCACTTCCACTATTTTACTATTAAAGATAACACTAAAATATCTCTGAGAAAATATTATTTTGCTTCTGATAATTTCTTTGGGATAAGCTTCAAGAAATAAAATAAAGAGGTTTATTTAAATGGTTTAATACTCAGGTGTAAAGCTCCACCACGTCATCAACAACAAATGACTACGTCTGTTCCACACAACCTCAGGAGAACTGGGTATTAAATAAGTCTCAAATGCATTTGGTAAATAAAAATTATCTCCACACTGTTCCCATTTTATTACTGACAGCAGTATTTCAACATATTATTTGATCATTTAGAATTTCTTTTATTTCTTCTTACATATTACAATAAGCTACTTTTTAAAAAAGATTTTGTTCATTTATCTTTAGAGGAGAATGGAAGGAGAGAGGGAGAGAAATATCAATGTATGGTTGCCTCTCGTGTGTCCCCCACTGGAAACTGGCCTGCAACCCAGGCATGTGCCCTGACTGGGAATTGAACTGCGATCCCTTAGCTCGCAGACCCGCGCTCAATCCACTGAGCTACACCAGCCGGGGCAGAATAAGCTACTTTTTAAATATTAACTTTGTCTATCAGCTCTGAGACACCTTTTTACATCTGCATTCTAATTCTCTAAACCTGAGAGTATAATCTCTCCAGGGGTCTGAATGTTCTTGTATATTTTCTACTTTTTTCCTATATTTTGATTTTTCTATATACCTACTACTCTTTAAAATTTAGTTTGATTTGTAGGGTAAAATTTCAGTGCTTTACCCCCCAAACACCTGCTCAGTTAATCCCAACATTATTTTCAATTCTTTTTTTTTTTTTTTTTTTTTGAGAGAGAGAGGGGAACAGAAGGGAAAAAAGACAGAGAGAAAGAAACCTGGACGTGACAGAGGAACACCGATCAGATGCCTTTTGTATGTGCCTTGACCAGGAACCAAACCGCAACCTAGGCATGTGCCCTGGCTAGGAATCGAACTCTCAACCTTCTATTTCATGGAACAGCATCCAAGCAACTGAGCTACATCAGCCAGGACCCAACACTGTTTTTAAATGTTCCTTCCCTATCTATGTGTGTATGTTTTAAGTATGTATAAGAATAATTACAAAATTATAAATGTTAAAAAATAAGATTCACATTAGAAATAGATTCTGGAAACAACCGACTCTGCTGATATTCAAACAAGACCATAAAACAAAGTCTACATGAAAAGTAAAATCAACTATATGCAATTTTTCACTACAATTAGACTTATTTAGATTTACCTGTCAGTGGGTCCTGACACTCCACCTCTCTGAACTGTTATTATTATTTCATTAAACAAGAATAGAAAAGCATGATAATTTTTCCTAAAACAATGATGTATATAAATTTGAAAAGGATAATGAATTATTTAAATGCTATCTTGTCTTCACCTTCAGTGAGTCCTACTGGCAGCATTCTATACAACAAATGTGAAGAGTATTGGAAAAATCTAGCTATTCAACGGTATACACTCCAACTTTATCCTTCAAATAACGTGGAAATGTGAAGAACGGCTTTCACTGTCATGGTCCAACACACAGGCCAGCCTGTGCCAAGACCACAGAACCGAATGTACTCACACACAGACGAACGCTGGCGCGCAGGCTTCCACATCTCACACAGCTAAAAATAATAACACCAACATCCATGAGGTGTCAGTAGTTCTTCACACATTTGGTAGCAAGGTCTTGGTTCACACAAACGGTATTTTTCCCAAATCTAGTATATCCAGCCCCTGAGCTAACTAATGAGTTTTTTCAGGATATTTTTGCTGAAATCCTGCACTTACAGGGCTTTTCCAGTGACAGGTCAGGTCAGATGCCACATGGAGCCCGGCTCAATCCTCAAGCAGAGAAATCACACAAAATGTCCAAACTACTCTCCTTAGCCAAGTCTCTCACCACTGAATTCATCTCTTTCAGGCTCCCATAATGAAAGGAAATCAGAAATTGTGCGTGCGTGCGTGTGTGTGTGTGTGTAGGTTTTAGGCACTAAAATGGGGACTCGGAAAAAGCAGACAGAATGCCTGGGGGTTGGGGTAGCTTCCCCGTGAACCAGAAAGCACTACTGCCCCGTCTCCCCGGCAGCTCCAGCCGCCCCATGGCACTTCTGCCTGTGCACGTGTCGTTGTCAGGAGCCTGTCTCACCTCTCCTAGTGAACAGCAGGGCCTTGGGGGCTGGCGTTTCTGCCAGAGTCCCTCTGGCATCCTCCACAGAAGTCAAACCAGGCCTTGCATGGTTTTCCTGAGCATACAAGAAAAAATACCCAATCTACCCCAAACAAAAAGTCTAAACCCTGACTTTATTTAATAAAACTCTTCTTAAAAATGTATCATAGGTACCACTGCCAAAAATATGGTTTTGAAAGCCTAAGGAGGGGGGGAAGTAATCCTTTTTATAAACCTGCCATAGACCCATCTCAAGAGACACACTTGTATCTCTTGTTTTCATAGAAATAACATTCATATTATAACCCCACACCTCATTATTGCAACAAATACAGGTGCTAAAAGGCCATTTAATGTTTATAAAATCCATTGTTTCGCCATGGAACAGTGGCTGTACCATGTCTGTCAGGGTACGTATGAGCTGTTAGATCAGACACCGTCCCAGACAGCACAGGGCCGCGACTCCAAGTGCCAGGTGAGGACAAAACGCCTGCGCAGCCTCGTCGCCCACGCAACCCGCGGCTTCCTGACCGCCCCTCACAGCGCAGGGACTCTGCACCCTGGTCTCCCCGCACGCCTACATTCTGCAATGTCCATCCTGTGACATTTACAGCTATCAAGTACTTTATTTTCAAGAATTACTCTTCATAAACACAGTATCTACAACAAACACATTCTTGAGAAAACATTAAAGGCTTCCCGAAAGCAGAGGCAGTGTCTAGAAATTTAACTTTTAAAAATTAAATAAAAAGCGTTATAAAATATTCTGGCATAAGGTACCTGCTAAAGGTAAAATGGTAAGAGCGATTGTTAACTTCTCAGTTCTAAAACTCACATAAAAGTATGGTTATCAAGAGGATCTGGATGTGCCACAGTCCAATCCTATCCTCTCTAAAACCAAAAATGGCATTAAAACCTGAAGTGGAACCAAAGTTAACGGTTCCTCCACATTAACTTAAACATCAGGAGACAGCCCTGGCCACATGGCTCAGCTGGAGCACTGTTCCGTGCACTGGACTGTCAGTCTGGGCACATATCTGGGTTGTGGGTTCAATCCCTGGTTGGGGCACGTACAGGAGGACATCAATCCACGTTTCTCTCTCACATCGATGTTTCCCTCCCTCCTCCCCTGTCCCTTCTGTCTCTCTCTAAAAAAAAATACCAATGGAAACATCCTTAGATGAGGCCAATCAATAAATATCATGAGACAGAGCTTCTGAAAGGTTGAAAAGAGTGAGCTCTGGTCCAGCAAGATCAAAAAAATGTGCTATAAAAGTCTTTATCTCTTTTGCAAGCAACACTGTGGCAGATGATCAAAACTATCTGACACAATTTGAGCTTGCTGTAGCCACAAAATCTAACCTACTCCAGTGCTCTCTCCTCAGAGACAAGCCTTTATACAGATTTAAACAGTGTTTTTTTAAGTATCTATCTCCACTAGAGACCTTGTTTTGACCCTTCCCAATTATGAGGTGAATTGTCCATACAATGAGCTACCTTCTTTCACTTCACAGGCCTTCCCATAAGACAGTCTTAGACACAGTAAATTCTTACTTAAAGTTTTCAATGGGTTCAAATAAACAACAAAACCAATGTTACCATAGGCTAATTGATATAAACAGGAATTAAGTCCCTACAGCATCTTATCAATGTTGTAACAAAATGACTTTATTCTAGAACCTGCTGTAAATATGAGCTCATTCACCATAAAATGGCCATAAAAAGTTTCATTGTCACTTATAAGCACATAAAATTTAGACTTTAGAAAAGAAATCACTAGGAAATATTGGGATCATTTATCTAGAAAGAACATTGAACCAAATGGTACTGACAAAAACACAGTATATGTGTCAATTACTATAAAAAATAACAATATTATTCTATTAAAGCAAGAGAAAACTTAAAAGTAGAGCTAGGTAAATAAAGAAGTAGAGAATCTGATAAAGAAAAAATTACCAAATTATATTCCCAACCACAACCTGTTAAGTGGGTACTCTAGCATTCACTGAATGCCTGCTACATGCCAGATATTGTAACTATGTTGTATTTACTCTTCACAGGAAGTCATCAAGTAGATATCATCCACAATTTAAGGTGAGGAAAACAAGACTCACAGGATTAAATAACCTTCTGAAAATGAAAGCTCTGGGCAGTTGGAGAATCAAGAGTCAATCACAATTCCACAACACCAAACTCCAAAGCCCTCCTTTCCACACCCCCACTACCACCCAACTATACTATACTCTCGGTGATAGAAGCTTACATGTAAAAGTTATCGGTGGACTAACAGTTGTATGAGTAGTATGGATTTAAAATATCAATAATGGCTGCAGTATATCCTAAAAAAGCACAATCATGTATTTCACTTTGTATCTTTTAAACAGTAACTAACCAGATTTTCAGCCAAAATAATGGGTTTCTATGAGCAGTTCTAAGTAAGAAGCTTGTCGAAATATATGGTGCGACTTGATGTTCTCAGGGCTCAAGACAGTACCTGCCACCCAAGGATGCCCAGAACACCTTTGGAGAAAATGTAGCAATGACAACAAGAAGAGGTTGACAAATCTCCCTAAAACACAACTTAAAAAGCTAGACAAAAAAAAAAACAGCAATTCAGCACTCTGGAAATCAACCAAAGCCATATACAAACTGAGATGTGTTTCTCCATGAAAAGCACTGAACTTCAAGATCAGCACAACACAAACCTAAGGCATTTCTGCTTGAGACTGTTTCCAACCCCTTGACACCAACTCCATCAGAGCAATAGTTCAACTGAGACAGGTGAGCTAAGAAAGCCAATGGCTTCAGGGCCACTGCCTGGCCAGGCTCACTAGAAATGGAGCCTGTCGCTTAACATGGCAATTCCATCAGCAAGAAAACACCAAGGGTTCAGGCTCTGCTAACCTGACCTGAAGTCTTGTTAGGGTCAAGCAAGAAACCAGGTAACTAGCCAAGTTTTAACAGGGAGTTCTTATATGTGGGAGGTGAGGCAACCACAGTGCCCCTGATAAACTTTCTACAGACATCCCAGGTTGGCCAGAGATTGTGCACATGCATCACAGACACCAGAGTGGGATCATACCAGCTACACATGCCTTGCTAACAAAAATCACACCTCACACACACACAAAGATGCAAGGGTGTCCAGCTGAAGGTCAAAGCCACAGCAGACATGAACAATGCCTGAAATTTGAAGGTGACCCCCAGACCCACACAGCTGTATCAGCAGAAAGTGGAAGATTAAGTGATTTTTGAGGTCAACCTCTGATTAACTTTGCTGGAACACAAAACTATGCTTCCTCAAGGGTAACCCCTAAGAAGCAAAGCTTAAAAGCAGAAAGAAAACATACAAACAAATACCTAATTTTATTACAGATATCAGCAGCCATGCAATATGGGAGAGACAGCCTTCACGGGTTTATTCCAGGCAAATTGTTAAACAAAATAAAAACAAAAATAACAACTCAGAAGCAACAAGAATAAGAATCCAGAATTATTTTAATGTAAAATATCAACAAAAACTTGGGAGTCATGAACAGAAACAAGAAAATGTGACCCAAAATAAGGGGACAAGGCAGTCAACAGAAACTGTCTGGAGTGTCTGCAAATGTTAGATTTAACAGGTTAAGACTTCAAAGTAGCTATCATGTGAATATGTAAATTTAAAGAACTGAAAGAAACCACGTTTAAAGCATTAAAAGAAAGTATGACAATGATAACTCAACACATAAAGCATCTCGATAAAGAGATACAAATTATAAAAAAAGAGAACCAAATGGAAATTCTGGAGTTGAGAAGTACAAGAAAGCAAACTTAAAATTACTAGAGGGATTCAACAGCAAATGTGAGCTAGCACAAGAAAGAAATCAGTATAGTTGATGACAGCTCAACAGAATTTAAGCAATCTCAGGAACAGAGGGGAGAAAAAGATCCACGAAAAATGAACAGAGCCTCAGAGAGCTGTGAAACAACCTCAAGCACAGCAACGTATTCGTAATGGGAGAAAAGAATGAAGTGGCAAAAACGTTTCCAAAATAAGGGCCTACAATTTCCCAAACTTGACAAAAAGCAAAACGACTAATCTCCATATCTGGGAAGTTCGACAAAACCCAAAAAAGGTAATACAAAAAATTCACCCCCAAATACATAGTATTCAAACTGCTCAAAGACAAACAGCCAACAGATGTATGAAAAAGATGGTTGACTTCACTAGCTAACAGGGAAATGCATTATCAAAGCTACAATGAGATCCCGCCTCCTACCTGTGAGATAGGCTACTACCAACAAGACAGGTAGTAAGTGCTGGAGAGGTGACAGAGTGTAACCAGTACAGCCACTATGAAAAACAGTATGGCAGTTCCTCAAAAGATTAAGAATAAAGTTACCATATGACTCAGTAATCCCTCTTCTAGGTATCTACTGGATAGTTTAAAAACATTCATTCACAAAAAATAATGCACCCCTATGTTCAACGCAATGTTATTCACGGTGGCCAAGACATGGAGACAACCAGAGAGTCCTTCAGTGAAGGACTGGATACAGAAGATGTGGTACCCATGGACCACGGAATAGTCCTCAGCCATAAGAAAAGAAGAAATGCTGCCATTTGTGACAGCACGGATGGGCCTTGAGAATATTATGCTAAGTGAAGTCAGTCAAAATAGCTAAAAATCATGATTTCGCTCACAGGTGGAAAATAAAACTGAAACTCACAGCCACATGAAGACGGCAGGGAGACAGTAACAGATCAAGGGGGACGAATGGATGGTGATGAATGATGACTTGCCTTTAGGTGATGGGCTCACAACACAATATGCAGAACATGCGTCAGAGAAATGTACACTTGAAACCTATAGGATCTTATTAACCGATGTCACCCCAATATGTGTAATAAAAATCCATTTTTTTAATTTAAAATGAAAATAACAAAATGGCAGACACAGATCCAACAATAACAATAATTACATTAATGTGAAAGGAATAAACACCCTACTGAAAAGACAAACTGTCAGACTGGATAAAAGACCTATTTCAACAACATGCTGTCCATAGGAGGCAAACCGTAGCTTTCAAGTAGAAGGGTCGGGAAAGATACGCCATGCAAACAGCAACCCTGAGACAGCTGGAATCTCATATCAGGCAAAATGGACGTGAACAACCAGTCTGACCTAATGACATTTAGGAACTCTCCAGTTCACTGCAGCCTTGGACATGGTGATCTACAACATTATTCATAATAACCCAAACACAAAAACCATCCAGATATCCATCAATTGGTGAATAGATAAACCAGATGTGATACAGTCATACAAGAGAATATTACTTAGCAATAAAAGATAACAAAAATCCTGATACATGCTACAGTAGAGATGAATCTCAAACACTATGCTAACTGAATGAAAGCAGCAGACATAAAAGACTACAGATCCCATTACATCAAGTGTCCAAAAGAGGCAAATGTAAAGAGCCAGCAAGCAGACCAGCAGTTGCCTCGGGCCAGCGGTGAGAGCTAATGATTGACCACTAACAAGCTCAGGAAAACTCTGGGGATAATGGGCATATTCTGAAACTGGACTGTGTTAAAGAATGCACAACACTGTAACTTTAACAAGTATCATTGAACTGTCCACTTGTAATGGATGAATTTTACTGCATGTAAATTATACCTTTAACAAAGCTGTAAGAAAAAAAGTATTATGCAGTGGTTTGACTGAGATAATAAACTACTGTCTGAAGACTTAAAAAAGCATTCCACTCCTTCAGGAAAGAGCTTAGCATCAAATACAAACTTAATGCAAACTCTATGTCATCTAAGATGCTCGTATGAATGCTGCAAGCATATTAATACATCATTTACACGGCATTCATTCATCAAAAAAATAACATTTCAACATAGAGAAGGTCAAGTAATACACTTAACCCTTTTCCCATGCAGTCACACACACACACACACACACACACACCTTTAAATATGTTAACTACGGACGATTACCGTACTTCTATGTTCACTCATCAAATGTTAGCACAGCTGCCTGGACTTCCATGTGTAAGCCATTATGATTTTTATGTCTTCAACTATAAATTTCCTAGAAGACAGGGGCAGAGCTGTTAACTCCACGTGTCCAACGCATCACAGTAGGGCGCACGGAGGTCCAAACAGAGGCGTCTGAGAGATGCAGCCGAAGTGGCCCTTCGTTTTCACCTCACCTCATGACCACTACAGGCTCTTCCTTTCACTGACAAATGACAGATGTTAACGGTTACAGATTTTCATGCCACTTTTGAGCCATGCTAACCCTGGCACATATGAAAATAAGGAGACTAATGTTTCGCTGTGTCTGTAGAGAACTAACATTACTCTCAAAAGTATTTGTCGAAATACTCAGTTACCATAAACTCAATCAAGCCTATTCT